GGATCGTTTTAAAGTAAAGGCTTTGCTAAAATACATAAGGCTTTTACGGAAACGAAAATATTTAGTTAAATGGATAGGTTACAACGAATTAAAAAATTCGTAAATCCCAAAAAAGGATATTACAAAAAAAATTGTTTAAGCGTATAAAGCAAATTTATTAAAAGCAAACTTACAAAATAAGGAAAATACCAAACCCTAACGGGTAAATACCCGAAAAGGACGGGGGTATTATAGGAAAAAAGTAATAAAGGTTAAAAGAATGGCCTAAAAAAATGTTTTAACGTGCCAAACCGGCTGGCCACCGGGGAAAAACGTAAAAAAACCCGTAAACGGCTTATAATAACCGTAAAATATCGTGCCTTATAAACAAAAAGTTAAGTAAGGACGGTATAGTACGGGGAACGCCCTAAATTAATAGTGCGATATATTTAAATTCCGAAAAATATGCAAAGTATAGCACATTTCGAAAAGCCCGTAAAGGGTATGCTTAACGCAATACGCCAAAGCAATTACCGCACTTTAAACGTACGTTATAGTAAAAAATACCATTGCTTGCCCGAAAAAAAAATAAAAAAACTTCCAAATAATATAGCAAACGGGCCTAAGCGTTTAGGTAGCGGCAAATGCATATTAGCAATATTTAAACCTATTAAAAAAGCAAAAAAAAAGCATTTTAAAACTATTTATTGGGGCATTAAAGCTTAATTGGTAAATATGGATACCGGAATTTCGCAATGCTGCAAAAGCAATATAACGAAAGGAAATTATAATTTTAATTATAATAAATTAACGAAAAAAATTTAAAATTAACCACCTTTTAAAAAGGGGATACCAATAATTAATTAGGAAAATATATAAAAAAAATCGATTAAATGCCGTATCCAAAAAAACCAAAACTTCCGAAAACCACGTCCTTTTTGTTAGCGCTACAATTATTGCCGTTAAAATCGTTAGCGCCGAAAGCGGCACCTTCCGGCGCCAATACGGACGCCGCACCCTTACGGGGAACCGCGCGGTTATAAGCCTAAATATCCGAATGCGCCGCAATCGTAGCAAAGCTAGCGGCAATGTTACCAAAAAAATAACCATACCTTTTTCGAAACGTTTAAAAAACGCTTTTATTTCGTTAAAAAAATTACCGATGCTAGCCAAAATTTAAGCTTGCTTTTTTGTTTAAACGGCGATAGCGTAAAATTATTAAAAAATGTTTTAAATAATTTTTAATATCGTAGCGTTAATAATTTTGCGCTAAATGCGCTTTTAAATAACGGTTTAACGTTCGTAACGCGCAAATTGTTCGGCCAATATAGTATAAAAGGATTTGGCTTTTTAAATAATTTTGCGAACGCGAAATTAAATTTTAATAAGCTTTTTAAAAAATTTCGGTATCGTTTTAAGCAACCGTTTATAAACGGTATTTAAAATTTTGTAAAGGTTTTGGGCCATTTTTTAAAACCATTCGGGAAATTTAACGCAAGTTTTATTGCCGATTACGTCCTTGCAATAAATATATTTGGAAAACCCCGTACAATTATCGAAGCATATCGGTATACGGGGGTTAACGGCATAGTTTTAATATGCTTAATAATTAAAATAACGGCCATAAAATACCGTACGTTCCGTATAATTATTTTTAAAAAAAGGCAAATAAATAAAATTCCAATTATTGCTTTATTGGAAATCGATAACCTTTTGCAACGGGAGCGCGTTATAAATACCCATATAAAACGAAAAGGAAGCAATATCCGTTTTGGGGGCAAATTTATTAAAATTAAAAGCATTGCGGCGGCGCTCGTTACGCATTTTACGCTTTTTTTTGGCGGAAATCTTTTTGCCGCGGCGGTTAAAGCCCGCCGGGGGGTTACCGGCAAAACGTTTGCGGGAATTTTAAAAGGTTACAAGCGCAAAAGGGCCCGATAAACCCGCAATATTTAAAAAGCTTACCAAAAAGTTACCGGCAAAGCGATCGTTAAAAATTTAAAGGATTAAAAGCTTCGGCGAAACCGAATTTAAATTTAACTAAACCACGATAGCTAAAAAAAATACCGAAAGGTTGCTAAAAAGGGCTAACGGGCCGGTTGGAACCGAAAAACCCGAAGCGGATACTTAAAGGAATATTACTTTTTTTACGTAATTAAGTACAAAGGATAACATTTGCAACTACCGGTTAAATTTAAATATTTAAAAAAAGCGGCTAAATACCAATTACTTACGGTTACAATCGTTAAAATTGTTGGAATGGTTATTAAATGTACAAAAAAAAAAAAAGGGTTCGTAGCTTTAAACGGAAAAAAAGCCTTTTATATACCGGTACGAACCTATTTTTCCAAATGCTATAAAATTTTATAACCGGTTTTCTTAAGCGTTGCCGGGCATTGGGGCGGTTTAGCGGGATACCGTAAGCTACCGGCTACTTACGGGGTTGCACGCGCGATATAAACGGTTTAAAACAGGCCGTATCGAAAAAGGGCAATATGTTAAAAATACGGGCAAAACCGCCCGGCAAAAAGCGAAAAGCGTTAAATGCACGGGCAAAACCGCCCGGCAAAAAAAAAAAAAGGGCGCTAATAGCTAGCCAGGCACGGACCCCCCGGGAATATGCCGGCAAATTACCGGTATTGCGGTTAAAGCATAATGGCAAAGCTAAAAAATAAGGTAAAATTTAAATTGCACGAAAGCGCTTAAAGCGCGAAAAACTTAAAAGACCAACCCCGGGTGCCCGAAAGGGCACGAAAAAGGGGGAGGTTAGAAAAGGAACAATTTTTGTTGGCGATAACACCTTTGGTAAGAGATTTACGGAGGTTTGACAAAGGAGACACCGCATCCGGCCCGTAACCCGGTAACCACCCGCCTCTGCACCGATTGACCCCTGACACCCAATAGCCCCGACCTTAACCTTATCGAAAACGTATGGGCTTGGATCAAAAGTTGGTTGGATTTGCACTATGATATACAACAATTGACACCTTTACAATTTAGGGCAGCGGTTTAGGCTGGTTGGGACGCAGTGCCAATTAATTTGCTTGAGAGCATCGCGCGTTCAATGGTTAGGAGGCTTAAGGCGGTAATAGCCAACAACGGTAATTACATTGATTATTAAGTGGTTAGTTACAATACATTTGTTTGTATTACAGATTGTGCGGTGGCCTGTGTATCCCTACTTGACCCCTTATGTAAAGGGATCCCTGACAACAAACCCCTGGAAAGCTCCACACTTTAACGTTTAATATCCCTCACTCCTGTACCCTGCTGGGATGAGCAGCGTGGATGAATTCCATCTTTCCGCTGACGAACCGCATGTGTTGTGTCCCCTCGTATTTGATTCAGCTCCTTCTCATCCAGGCAGCTTGCAATCTTCTTCCCGGTCCTCAAGCCACCTTGCCCAGTCGGCCCTTTATGACTTTGGCACAGACGGACTGCGTTTCTTTCCCATACTCCAAGGCTTAGAACGGGCCACCAGCCGCCCCAAAGATGACGCGGCACCAATAGCCTGGATTTGCCTAGGCTTCACACCCGAGAACTCAATCTCTAGGTATTCTCTTTAGAGCATTGCGGCCAAGCAGTGCTACCTCAGGAATGACGCCAACCAGCCCAGCTTGGCGGCCTCGTGCTGTGGCTGAAGCCGCCAGGCCTCCCGAGCACATTTGACGCCAGGCAGGCTACCCGCCGCCCTTCGTCAATTCCATCGCGGTCCGTGCCGCGCTTCTCGGCGCTACGCCTCTCCACAAAGCTTCATATAGCGTGCGACCACGGAAGGAGGCAGGCGAGCTGCTGGCTTCCACATCATGGCCGTCCGAGCCTGAATCCTGGCTAGCGTCAGGGAGCATTTGCCCGAGGATGGCTCGGGTGTCGTGGTAGTTAAAAGCAGAGAAGGCTGCCCCGAGAACCCATGCCTTTTTGACACGACTCCAGGTTCGAGTTCAAGCCCAACGACGCCGTCGAGGGAAAGTTGGAAGATCGGTTGCTAGGCTTGTTCCAGACAGTCCGCAAACCCGTGCTGGAATCCATCATCCCTTTACTTTCCAGCGATAGCAAAACGGGCCTTTGGCCGCGATGGGACAGCAAGGAGGCTCGCCGATCCTGGCGCTGGTGCTGTTGCTCGCCTTGTCATATAGCGCCGCAGCCGACAGGCCGGTCGTCAACGACACAGAGTGTGGCTGCTTCATGACCAACGCCTCGAACTCGGCGTTTTTCTCGAAGCACCGGTTCTACGACTTCAGGTCGCTTTCACAGTATGCGACCGATCCGCCCGCCCTCGTTAACGACTCGGCTGGCGCAGCGTCTGCTCCGACGACGAGCGACTTCTTCAAGACAAAGCCCTTTGCCGACGACTGGGCCATGATGTCTTGGAACAACAGCGACTCTGTCGGCGGGGAAGCCGCCTACCTGTTGGTAAACTCGCCGTCGAATATCTACATCGAACGCAATTCGGATTCAGGGGCGTCGTATTCAGACACGTATCTGACTATGCGCACGGCGAGGCTCAGCGGCTTCCAGGCTGCATCCGAGCTGGAGTCGGTGTCTCCCAACTACCGCTTCGTGTCGGTGCGCATGCTGGCACGCACTTTGGGCGACCCTGGGGCCTGTACTGCCATCTTCACCTATCGTGGCAACCGCCACGTTGAGCGAGTGCAAGAGGCCGACATTGAGGTCTTAACCAAGGACCCGAACACCTACATCCAGTATACCAACCAGCCGTCCTTTACCACTAACGGCAACTCTGTTGATGGCGCATCACTCAACGCCACCGTGCCCACCCCCTGGACCGAGTGGGCCGTTCACCGCCTCGACTGGACCCCAAGCAAGAGTACCTGGTTCGTCAACGGCGTGCAGGTGGCTTCGCTCAGCTTCCAGGTGCCGCGGGACGCCAGCCACGTCAACCTCAACGCGTGGAGCAATGGCGGGGTGTGGACGGGGCCCATGGAGGTCGGCAAGGAGGCACGCATGCAGATCAAGTGGCTGGAGATGGTGTTTAACTCATCGTCGGACTACGGTGTCGGGGACTCGAAGCTTGTGCAGAAACTCGACTCGGTCAGCTCTCTGACGGGCGCGGCAGTGAAGGGACTCAGCAGCGATGGAAAGAGCTGCAAGACTGTGTGCAGCATCGACGAGACCAACCAGAGGGGATTGGCCATTGTGCTTTCCAGTTCCGGCAGCGGCCCCTATTATCGCAAGGCTGCGTGGCAAAGCGGCAACGGTGCTGAGTCTACTGTTTGGATCCCACTGCTGATGACGCTGTTGGCCATTGCATCGACACTGCCTTTTGCGCTGGCTTGACGTGCGTCGGTGAAAAAGACGCAGGCTTTCACTCTTTTCGCGCATGGCAGGGTTCCACATGGCAGGGTGCTCAGGGAGGATAGACGTAACATTACATTCATTCTTGTATCAAATGTCATTTCGGGGAAAGAAGCTCAGCTACCTGCTACCTATGTTGGGATCCCGCCGGCGATTCCGGTCAGCAGGTAGAGAGACTAGGCGGTTGATCTGAAAGATTACCCAGTGTGCGGCAACACAAAATCCCTCGGCTCTCCATGGCCTTCTCCTTTTTTTTTCTGGTGAGGCTTACCGGAGATGTCTGTCAGATATTATGTTGTCGTCACAAATCAGAAATGTGATGCTTTGTTCATGGGCTACCTAATCGGCCAAGCCTTCCATTCCCAATGGGGCACTTGGCCGCCCGGCCGCAGCACGCTTACAGGCGGACCAGGTCCCGAATCCCATCACAGCGCAGGTGCGTCTTGTGCGCTGAAATGGATGGGCAATGGAACAATGTCCATGTTCACGGCTTGTTCCAGGCCTGGCTAGCTGAGCGATAGGCTCTGGCCCCTGGATCTAGGCGCCAATCGGATCGGCGGTTTGGGCTTGAGCGCCAATTGCGAAAGGCTTGGGGTGCATTCTGCCCCGCCTTGGCCGTGGGAGTGGGGCGGATCAGGCATGGAAGCATGAAATTGGATGGAAGCCAAAGAGAAAAGAAAGAAAGAAGAGAAGGTGCATAAATTAGCGGCTTCCAAGAAACTAGCACACCCAGCACCCAAGCACCCAAGCACCCAAGCACCGAAACATATTGGGATATGCAAGGCTCGCGGACAAAAGCAAGACGGGGAATCAATGGCGCGGCGGGTTGCGTGCTCGGTGCCTCGGCGGGCCAGCATGCCGGACCAAACAGCGGCAGTAGAAGGAACGTCGCAGCAAGATCACCGGGGGACTCTGCAGTGCGAGGCAGCAGGGCCAGACCCGGCTGGACGCCGCTGCTTTTTCAAGCACAAAAGACAGTGGGAGGATCACTGCATCACCGCATCACCGACAATCCATCACTTCCGAGAGGGAACCGTGGCTCGTGTCCGGTGTCTGCCGCCCGTCTCCAGCCCCCTGACGAGTCCCCCGTCAGAGTCGAGTCTCAGCCGGACCACACCGACGACGGAGCCCGCTCACTTTACTGTGCTCGCGGCGGTGGACACGGCTCCAGCTGCATGTCTGGCTGCCCGCCCGCTGACGTACCACAGCATGAACACCGCCGTTGGCTCCACGACTCAGGGCCCCATTTGACCCATTTGACCCATCACTTTTCAGCTCGTCACATCGCCGTGGCCCAGTGCAGCTCCCCGGCCGCCCCAAGCAGCCACTGAGATTACTCACCCACGCACACCTCTGCGCTTGCCCTGGACCTAGTCTGCTCTAGCTGGCTGCTGAGCCTCCTACTCAATCAGATGGCCGCTGAGGGAGGACCCCGCTGAGGGAAGACCGCGGCGTCGGCTCGGATGGAGGCGGGACTTCCTCTTGGCTGGAGCTGCGCGTGCCTGTCCGGACAGGTAGCTCGGGGGCCCTTGGACACCGATCCGCACCGCGACCCAGAAAGATTGAAAAGGCTCGATCAGGGCCAGTCTTGATGCGCGCTAGTCTGTCCAGTAGTGTGGAGTGGATTGGCTGTCACCCTGTTAGGACACCCTCGAACTCCCCGGGCTGCGACGGTTCTTGCGGCGCTGGCACGCAGACCACCCATCGCGATTCCCGATTGAATCTCGTGGGTGTGTAACCTCGTCCTGCTTTCCTCGCGGATGCCCCCAAAGACCAATAACATCGGCCGCCCAGCTTTAGTTGGCCCCCTGCCTCTTCACCTGCCTCCTCGCCTACCCTGTCCCAATTGACGGCTGGAGCACGCCTTGCTAGTCGGACTCCCGCCCTAGCCTCCTCCACTAGCTTCTTTACTATCGGCCATCTGTCCAAATAAAAAAACCTAAATAACCGGCACGGGAACACGCCAGCAGACCTCGCTCGGTCTCGCCAGAGAGCCCGGACACACCACTTCCCCTCTTTTTTTTTTTTTCTCCGCTAGCCGCGATGGATCCCTTCGCTTCCATGTCCAGCCATAGCAGTGCCTCCCCGGTCTCTGTCTCTGAAACCCAGGGCCTGGGGGCGACGCCGAGTTCCCGGCCAGACGGCGATGCAGCTCCCACCGCCGCGGCCGCCGACACTGCATCGGCCCAATCCAGCCAGCCGACTGTCCCGGCCGCCTGCCTTGCATGTGTATGCTGTCTCCCCGAGCCGTCCCGCGCTTCCCTCGTAGCCGGGAAGCGGAGCCCCTTAGCGCTCGCTGCATGCTGACTTTGTCCGAACAAGCGCGGGAAACACCTAAAGTGCGACGGCACCACGCCGTGCTCGCGATGCCGGAGCTCCAACTCGGAGTGCGTGTATATCGCGTCGCGGCGTGGCTATAAGGGCCCTCGCCGCAGCACCGCCGTTCCCCACAACCCTAACAAGCGCTTCGCCTCCTCGTCGCCCCCCGCCTCGGGCTCCAGCGCCGGCACAATGCCTGAGGAGAGCTGCCCCATGCTGCTGGGCGCGAGCCCCATGCCGAGCTCCATCCCCGGGTCCATCCCCGGGTCCATCCCAGGGTCCGAGTTCGCCACGACCCAGCCGCTGGCTGCCTTCGCGGCTCCGCCTCCCGTGTCCCATATGCAGCTGTACCGCACTCCCTACACCGGCCCTGGCGCCGGGCTCCCCATTGGGAGCACCAACATTGCCCTTGCGGCCGCCAACGCTGCGGCTGGTGCTGCTGGCGTTTGCGCTCCGCCCATGCAGTCGCATGCTGACCGCTGTTTCGACTCCTTCTTTTACAACTTCCACGCCGCCCACCCTTTCGTGCTCCCAAAGGAGTTCCTGATGCGTGCAATCAAGGAGGGCTATGCCAAGCTTGACCATCTGGTGGCGGCCATCAGGTACATCGGCTCGCTGTACCTGGATTCCGGACCGGCCAGAGCCGCGTATCTAGACGAGGCCCTCCGTCTGGCCTACCTCCCGACCTGTCCCAGGGACGGATTCCTGGTGCAGGCGCTGCTTCTGGTGCTGATCGGGCTGGACGGCAGCTGCCAGCAGCAACGGGCAAACCAGCTGCTGGCCGACTGTGAACGGATCGCTGTCGAGATATCGTTGAACACGCGGCCTTATGCCACGGCCAACGGGCGTGGCAACTCGGTTCTGGAGGAGAGCTGGCGCCGCACCTGGTGGGAGCTGTACGTTGTTGATGGCATGATCGCCGGCGTCCACAGAGCCACCAATTTTCTCCTTTTCGACGTCAACTCTGACGTAGGCCTTCCTTGCGAGGAGCACCAATTCCTTTCTGGGGTGAGCTCTACTCAAACCCTCCAAATAGGCGTGACGTGAGGCGTGAAACGCCTTCTCCAAACGGTAACGTGTGGGCCTTTGCTGACTGAACTCGACCGTTTGCAGAACGTCCCGGTTCCAATGTACATGGAGGACTTTGACGACCAGCTGTTCTCGGGAGAGGATCGGGAGTTCTCGTCGTTTGCGTACCGCATCGCGGCCGCGCGGAATCTCGGCAGGTTCATGAGGTGTCCGCCCATGGTCTTTCCCGAGGACGACAACATCTCCAAGATGGAGTCGTTGCTCACGAACTGGAGGATGTACCTCCCCCAGAGCAAGAAAGATGCCCTCAACAAGCATTGCCAGCTTGACGAGATGATGTTTCAGGCGCTGTTCATCAACCAGGCGTAAGGTTTCCCTTCCGGTCTCTGGCCATCCTCTTTCGCCTGGATAGGTTATCGGCCCAAACAACTTTGGGACCGACGTCTCACACGGGTTGGGTGACGAATACATACCTAGACTATCAAGCTGACCCGATCAACGCTTCAATAATACAGATGCACGATAATGCTCCACCAGCCGCACTCGCAGCTGGACTCGTCGCCGGCGCGGAGCGTAACTTCGTGCGCGCCGCACCAGCCGGTGCCGAGCGGCGATGCGTTCAATACGCACACGCGGCACACGATCGCGGCGGCATGCGAGATCAGCCGGATGGTGACGCACGCGGTGCCGCTGCTGTCGCACACGCACTTCTTCACATGCGTGCTGACGCTGTCTTCCATCGTGCACCTCAACAAGTGGGCGCTCTACTTCATCCAGGACGAGGACGACCTTCGCCAGCAGATCCGGCTGAACATCGGGGCGCTGCAGCGCATCAGCACCGTCTGGCGGAACGCGCAGACGGCCGGCGGGCAGGTCAAGAGCGTCGCCCAGGAGATCTACCGGGCCAAGAAGGCACAGCAGATCAGCCCGGCCTTCTGGGTTGCCTTTACCCAGGAGCAGATGATCAGCAGCCTCAACGCCGACGACGGCATCATGAACGACTTTGAGACCATCCTGCCGGTGGCTCAGGTCAGCCAGCCGCCTTGAGTCGATCGTGAACGGGCGGGGGGGCCTCGGCGTGCGTTCGTTTTGTGTCGATGACCTTTTTCTTTCCTCTCGTTTCCCTTCGTCCGACGAGTATAGGGTACAAGAAAGCAACGAGACAAGAACACACAAGACAGTCAAAGAAAGCCAGTCAGCTGGCAGAAAGGCAACAAGGGGATGGGAGTGATGAAGGTAATGGGAACATAGACATGCCAGCTGGGAAACATAGAGTCAGCCGCGGTGGGTGGGAACCCGGCAGGTCAGAGAAACTTGTAAATGTAATACCGGGCCTCTGCGTGCTCGGAAGTGATAGCGAGCAGCTCAATCTTTCTATCCACCATGGACCTCGGGCTGCAGGGGCTTGTTTGGATTTTACCCTATCAGCCTTTCGCATCGGTTGTTGGATAATCCATGTCGTGCCAGGCGAGAGACAACCAAGACACTCAAGCCAGACCGGTGGGAAAAGCAGGAAGGGTGCGGACTACAAGGGGGCACACGCCACCACACATATTGATGTCTCTTTTGGCAGTTTGGTGCCCGCAAGACACGACCTCGACCACAAATACCGGGCAGACATGACCGTTCTAGAATGCCTGCCTCGCTACGACCTGCCTTGGCTGGTTTCAATGTTGCTGGCGCCAATTTCCACCCGGGAGGGGCGGAGGCTTGCTGATGTGTCGAGCTGTCGTTGGCTCGGAGGGATAACGCACAGCGGAAGAAACGGGCACCTTCCCCAGCACCAGACGCACTGTCGATCAATTTCTTGGATGCCCGTGCCGTTTCGGCGCCGCCAGCGAGGTGCCCGGGCGGGGTCGCTGCCCGCTGGCGTGTGGATTCGCAGAGCGTCCCCACAGCGCCCAGTCGGCGACCATGCGCCCCCAAACGTGCGTCCTGCTGGGGGGGGGGGGAGCGGGCCGCCCACGCCGCTGGATTTAGTTGGGAACGCCTCCGCTGAGCCTGTGCTGAGTCTGGTGTAAGTGACGCGATCCTGACGGTCAAGAAGGAAACTCTGATAAAAGTAAGACACAAAGAGGCGAGAAAATATTATTATGTTTTCTTATCTTCTTCACACAACCCGGTTGACCCATCTGTCACAATGCGGCCCAGCTGAACCGCAAACCGGCGGTGTGCTGACGGCAGACAAGTCCAAGAGCCTCGGGCACCTCAGCGACATTCATAGTCGGCGACCATCCAGACCCTGGGCTTCCCTCCTCTCCACCTAGCCCACCGCCATAGCCATATTCCCGGACCTTCCACGCAGAGTTTGTGTTCCCGGACCTCATCCTCTCTCCACGCCTGAGGTGCCCAACATCCCTCTGCCCCAGTCGGGCAATTGGCCCTGGGTGGTCTCGCGGGAAGGACCGCCGATGCATAACCGAGCTGTCGCCCTGGCACTTGCACTCGGCGATGGAAAGGTCTTGCCGTCCCCATTGGCTCATGCTACAGTCACATGGCCTCCGCCACGACGGGGACCTCCTCCATCTGATGGCGACCTCCCCCGGGGCTCCAGCGCGGGGTTTCGGAGCCGGCGACAACGTGGGTGGTGGTGGTGGTGGTGGCCGTCCACGCCGATGCCCGCTCCCGGCGGGGTGGCGGGATGTGATGGCGCTTTTCATTAGTTGTGCAAGCGATGTGCTCAAGCCATAAAACCCCATCCGATGGACAAACACACAAGCTCACCGTCAGGGACCCCCAGCGGCCTTGGCTGCATTTCAGCGATTATCTCACATGGATCCCAGAACCCGCAGGGCCGGGGACATAAACCCTTCCCCCTCCCCCTCCCTCCCTCCCCAACCACAAGGCTACCCTGGAGTCGCATAAGCCGCTGCCTATCATTGACGTGACGCCGAACCCTAGCGCCCGCGCTCAGCTTAGCTCCCTTTTCGCTTCGAGCCCAGCCGGTCAGCGGTGACGTTCAGCCCATCCCTCTTGCCGTAAGCCGCCGACGAGGTGGGCAACGCCGGGCAAAAGAACCTTCAAGGGCGGACGAATAGGCAGGAATGTGTTAGCGCGAGGACGGAGAATGATCCAATAATGGCCGAACATGGTTGCCGATGGATAAGGTGCCCATTTACTCTGCCGACTGGGCCGCCCCTTTGAGCACAGAGATGGTGCTTTATAAAGAGGCCAGCTAGGCCGGGCCGCGTCCGGTTGTCCTCTGCTGCAGAAAACAGGATTTCTCGAAACAAGACATCTCTCCAGCCGTCTCTGCTCGCTACGCTGGGGCTGCAAAAACTAGCGTCAGCCTCGAAGCAGTTACACCGGCATCAGAACAGTTCATCAGAAAAGTTCTTCACCATGGCCGCCCTCGCCGAGCCCCTGCCCAACGGCAAGGCGGATTCGGAATTCGTCTCCAAGGAGCGCTCCCAGGCGCCGTCGGATACGTCGGTCGTCGACGTCGAGTCGCGGGGCGCGTCCGAGGAGCACCTGATGAACACCACGGTCCAGAACATCAGCTGGAAGGGCATCACCGTGACCGTGACGGACCGGGAAACCAAGCAGCCCAAGCGGCTGGTCGACGACCTGGAGGGCGTGGTGTATGCAGGTATGACTGATCTGGCGCCGCGCAGACTATACGGAGTAACAGACCTAACACGTATCTGCTGCCCACCCGCGCCAACAGGAGAGCTATGCGCCCTGATGGGCCCCTCGGGGTCGGGCAAGACGACACTACTCAACGCCCTGGCCTCGCGCCCGTGGGGCTCGGGCAAGGCCTCGGGCTCGGTCCTGGTGGACGGGCGGGAGCCGTCGCGGGCGGCGTTCCGGCGCGCGACGTGCTTCGTCGAGCAGGAGGACGCGCTGATCGGGTCGCTGACGGTGCGGGAGACGCTCGAGTTTGCGTCGCGCCTGTCGGGCGGCGGCGGCGGCTGGTCGGCACTATCGCGGCGTGAGCGGCTGGCGCGCGTCGACGGGCTTCTAGACTCGTTCGGCCTGCGCGCCCAGGCCGCCACCATAATCGGCACCCCGATCCGCAAGGGCATCAGCGGCGGCCAGAAGCGCCGCGTCGGCGTCGCCAGCCAGCTCATCACCAGCCCCAAGATCCTGTTCCTCGACGAGCCCACCAGCGGCCTCGACTCGGCCGCCAGCAAGGAGGTCATCAGCTACCTTAGGGGGGTGGCCAAGCGCAACAATGTTGGTGCCATTCGCTGCATATATAGTCGGGGAAGTCATACAAATACTGACACGCGCACAAACTGCCTGCCTCGAACAGCTCATCGTCATCGCCAGCATCCACCAGCCCTCCACCTCGACCTTTGCGCTCTTCGACAAGATCTGTCTCCTGTCGCAGGGCCTGCCGCACTACTTCGGCCCCGTCGCCGACGTGCAGCCCTACTACGAGGGGCTGGGCCTGCCCATCCCGAACCACACGAACCCGGCCGAGTGGCTGCTGGAGCTCGTCAACGTCGACTTTGCCCCCGACAGGGCCGAGGCCCAGGCCCGCCTCGACGGGTGGCAGCGCGCCTGGGTCGCCTCGGACCGCCGTCGCCACCTGGCTGCCCAGGTGGCGCTGGTCGAGACCCAGGGCGCCGCCGACGCCGCCGCAACGTCGGCCGAGGACGCCTCCTCGGCCGACAGGAAGCCGGGACTCCCGAGCCTGGTGCTGACGTTGCTACACCGGTCTTTTGTCAAGAGCTACCGGGACGTGGTCGCGTATGGGATCCGTCTTGCCATGTATACTGGTAGGGACCTGCTGCTGCTCTTGGATGAAAAAACAAAAAGATGTCTTGTCTATGAACTGACGGCTGGGTACACTCGAACTAGGTCTCGCCATAATGATGGGGACAGTCTGGCTCAGACTCTCAACCGACCAGACTTCCATCATTCCCCTGACAAACGCGATATGTATGAATATCTCGGTCATTCCGATTCCTCTCATCCACATCGCATTGCCTGCCTGGTACTAACCGCCACGCAGTCTTTGGCTCCGCCTTCATGTCCTTCATGGCAGTCGCGTACGTCCCGGCATTTATCGAGGACCGTAACCAATACGTAAAAGAGCACCACAATGGCCTATACGGCGCGTCCGCCCTCGTCATATCCAACTTCCTGATTGGCATACCCTATCTTTGTAAGTCGGGCGGGCGCCTTCCACCCCGGGTAATTTAACCCAAAACAACCAGCATCGATTCTAATCAAAAGCACCGCCCTCCTCTCACACGACAGTCCTCATCGCCATGACCTTCTCGGCCATCTCGTACTGGCTGTCCAACTTCCGCCCGACGGCCGACGCCTTCTTCACGTGGGTCATGTGGGTGTTCCTCGACCTGCTGGCGGCCGAGAGCCTAGTGGTCCTGATCACGGCCATCTTCCCGAGCTTCGTCGTGTCGCTGGCGCTGGTGGCCTTTGCCAACGGGCTGTGGATGTCGGTGAACGGGTTCATGGTTCAGGTGAGTTCACAAATTCCATGCTGGGCCAAACGCTGCAGCATTGAGCTAACTGGGAATCCTTCTTCCTCCCATTTTGCAGCCCACCATCCTCAACGTCTTTTACAAATACGTCTTCCATTACTGGGACTACCAAAAATACGTGTTCGAGGGCATGATGGTCAACGAGTTTGGGTACCGGAACTACACCTGCGGCGACTCGTGCCAGTGCATGTACGTCACCGAGCTGGTCGACCAGTGCAAGATCGCCGGCACCGGCGTCCTCCAGCAATACGGCTACGGCACCGGCAAGATGGCGCAGCACGTCGGCATCATGATTTCCATCATTGCTGGATATCGGATCGCCGGGTGGATCGCTTTGAAGCTGAGGAAGTGATGGACCTGCACGGCGAGTGTTACTTTTTTTTGTTCATTGTGCAGGGTGGCAGATGGTGAATAGATAGATGGTTTTGGGTGGTTGCCTCTGACCGCTCCGGGCCCAGGTTGGGATTGCTCAATACCGGCCGGTTTGAATAAATATCAACACATCATCCTCTTATTACAAAACCGTAATGCAGCATCCGCGTACAAGAGCGCCCACATCCTGGTCACAGCTGGCTTCTCTTCCTCTGCTACGCACTGCGCAGTACCTCCTCCCCGACCGCAAAGTACCACCCCGCGGCCGGGTGAGGGTTCACGATCTCGCTCTTGAGCCAGCAGGTGGGCTTGCCGTTGAAGGTGCCCCAGCCGACGGCCTTGCAGGCCGCGTTGGCGGCGCACGTGTCGATGCACTCGGCGAAGCTGTACGTCACCTTGCTGAAGAGGTCGACGGCGTTACTACTGGCGCTGCTGTAGTCGCGGTCGCAGAGGAGGAGGAACTTGCGGCCACCGCCGTCCCCACCCTCCTGCGACTGGTAGAGCGTCTCGTTGTTGCCCGGGCACTCGATGGCGAGGTTCGGCGCGATGGCCACCGTCGCCCTCGGGGTCGGGTAAGTCGTCCTTGTCGGGGCCGCCGTGCGGGACGACGTGCTGGCGGGACTGAGGCAAAAAGCAGCCAAGAATCTGTCAGTCAGTAAAGCCATGTGGGCGCCACCACGTACGGGAAGGGCGTCTTCACGGGCATCACGGGATGCAACCCACCTGGCTGGTGCGTTGGCAGAGCTGGGCTGGCGAAGGCCAAGACCGAGTCCTACCCCCAATGCGGTGGCCAGCACGAGGATAAATCCGGCAATGGCCATGAGAATGAAAAACAGGGATTTATTTATCCCGCAAACGAGCTTCCTTGGCGGCGGCGGCGGCGGACTGACCGCCGCTTCCTTCAAGTCGCAGCTCGCTTTGCCGCCACCAGAATTCGCGAGGAGTGGCGGGTAGGCGAACGAGCTTGGCGGAGGGCTGGTCGAGTACGTATTCCCAGAGACGCTCCTCTGATCCCAATGTGCGTTTGCCGGGCCATGGCCGGGTGGGTAGCCGAAGACGGGAGGGGTGTTGTTATTGCTGCTGCTGTTGTTGTTTGTAGCGTGGGTGGGATAGACTGGCAAGACCTCCGGTGCGTCGGCGCGCTCGGCGACCTCGAGGCCGCCGTGGTCTATGTACTCGAGCCCTGCATGGTCTGGCTGCTGCGGGAGAGGGGTCCTGTCGTGCTGCATAATGCTGATGTCTTGCTCAGGGGTTAAGGGACGAGGCTTGCGCTGTCTTTCTGCTCGACATAAACCAAGCTTTTCGACCGTTGTTCACATCCTCTGATCGAGGGTCAAAGGGAAAAAAAAGACCACCGGTAAGCAATCCTCGACGCTGCTAGAGGACGTAGCGGATCCTAAAGTATGAGGGGCCGCCTTTCAGGGCGAGGGAACCAGTCAGCCGCAGCACACCCCATTGCGGGCTAGTGCTGGTAAGGCTGGTGTACCACCCCATAAGATTATACGAAGTCCAGGGTCTCGTTGGCTTCGTGGGTGAGGCACAGGCTGGGGGCTTTCAGACCCCAGGGTGGGCCGAATCCCGCCTGGCCATTGTGTAGATCATTGGCCGGTGGTGCCCATCGCTGATTTTCGCCAAGATGGAGTGTTGCATTTTTGGTGGAAAACCACACGATGCGTAGAAGTCGGCGAAGTGATTTATCCAGCTCGCATTCAGGAGTCCGCAAATGGTGTAAGAATTGAGAAGGCAGCATGCTCCCATTGGCACAGTCGGAATTAGAGATATTTATTGCGCAACAGAGGCATACCCCGGCTTCGCTGATGCCAGGAATACATACTCCTTGGCCAGATCTAAACGAGCCGAGATGGTAGAGAACATGGAACCAAGCCACTGTCAATCAGCATTCAAATGGGTTCCCAGTCACGTGTGCTCGCGGATTTCCGTCACTGTGCTGGGCGAACTCCCCCACCTACGGGTCCAGTCTTGGTCGCTATCAAATACGCGACCATCGCGTCTCCTCCCAAAGGCTGCCAACAGCCAACCATTTGAGCTCCAAGCCCGTAATGGCGACCCGCTGGGGACGGCGGAGCACTACCACGTCCAAATTAAAGTCGCCCGACTCCTCGCCAGAAAGCTCCCCTACCCCGTCGTTTTGTACCGCTAGCGAGACAGCCGAGCGCGACGATGACGTCGTGACCACGGCCAAGACCAGCCCAACCCGCCTCGACGACAAGCTGCAAGTCAGCGACCCCGACACGCCCATGAAAGGGCACAATGACCCGGACGAGGAGGAGGAGGACCTCGGCAGTGATGAGGTGCTGCTGCCGTACCGCCCAGCCAAGAAGCTTCCGCGCGAGGTCAGAGAGCACTCCAAGATCTATCTCGAGGAGGAGCTGTGTAGGTGACGGCCCGGAGTTCCCTAATCGGGAATTTGAGGAATTTGCATTAACTTGTGCGCCCTCTCCAGACGGCGCCGCGATCGAGATGCTCGGGAGTCTCATGTCTTCTGGGGGCCATCGGCCTCGCTCCAAGCAGCGCCCAGCACTAGTCCCGCCGCCCAACCAGGTCGCATTCCTGGCCAGTCTCGCCATCCACCCGCTCTACACGAACCGACCGACCGAGATGTCGCACCGCACGATAGGGTCCCAGGCCATGCAGTACCTGCGCGGCCTCTTGGGCTCGGCGGGCCCCGTCCACGCCAACTTCCGCACCGCCTTCGACTTCGAGCCCTGGCGCCGGCACGGGAGGCGCGGCCTGTCGGCGGGCGTCGAGGACGAGGCCAACGAGGAGGACGAGGCCATGGGCGGCCGCTTCGCGCCGAGCCATATCGTCTTCTCCAAGGCCGAGAGCTTCTGGAGGCTGCTCGGCTGGGCCTTCAACTGCAGCGCCCTCCACCCCGAGCGGTGGAGGTACTGGGAGAGCTGGCTAGGCTTCATGGCGGACGTCTTGGACGCCGACTACAGGGAAAGGGAGAGGCTGGACACCAGCGGCGGCGCCGACGGCAGCGACTGGCGCCGCGGCTCGCTGCTGCTCCGCTACGTCCGCGACCTGGATCGTTCCGCCGTCAAGGGGATGGTGAGGGCCCTGTTCGCCGACGGGAGCGCCGCCTCTCTCCGCGAGTTCCCGGAGCTGTATGACAGGGAGGCCAAGGTGAGGACGGGCGCCGGTAACAAGCGGAAGCGCACCCTGAGCTCGGACCTGGATCTCGCCAACGATAATTTTGGTGACTATTTCGACGACGACGGTCTGAGCTCCGAAGGGTCTGCCCCCGAGTCCCCCACACGACAGACGGCGGGTTCGCGCCAAAAACGGATGGAAGTGGCACCGCCCCCGAGCGAGGAGCTCATGGCGTCTGTGAGCCTACGTCTACGCTTTTTCGATATGGTAAGGCCGCCTTCTCCATCGCTGGCTGGTGCTCGGTTCACGGTGCTGACAGGTAACAGGTCGGGAAAGCGTTTGACTTTTTGGACAACGCAGAATGCCAGACGGAGCTGTTCGGTGTCTTCTCCAGCAACCTCCGGTCCTTGCCGGTCCCGCTGTATGAGCTATACGTGGCCTCGCACAGGACGGAGATGGACTCGAGGTCTCAGATCTCGCTGCTCCTCGACGCCGTCGGCACATTTCGCCCAACGTCGGCTCCGAAACCCATCAGGGTGGACAAGGCGGCGGCGACCGGCGGCTTCATCAACATGCTGATCATGGAGAAGTGCTACCTGCCCTTTGCCGCCACCAGCACGGCTGAGGGGAACGCCAAGTTCTCGCTCGTCCTCGAGTCGCTATTCCGCATACTGTGGGTTAACGACCAGGTATCCTACTCAACCGAGCTAGACGAGGCGGTCCGGACCGGGGTCGCGCTGCGGAACGACCGGTCCAAGCCCAAAAAGAGCGCCCGCTCCAAGGACGGGGCTGAGGAGGCCGCTCGCAAGATACTGGCGCAGTCGGGGTCGCGCCTCGAGTACCTAATGGAGATCGTTGCAGAGGAAGAACAATCCGACGGCGACACGGATGCCGAGTAGGGGGTTCAAGAAGCCCTGGCGCCATGGCTTGTGGGATAATTGGTTAAAGGCAGGAAAGTCCTAAAGAGACATTTTTTTACTTTTCGTTAATGTTTTGTTATATCTACCTGTCTCTATCCATCTCTGGGTCTGCCTTGTGACGCCAAAAGGGCATCACTGGTGGAGTAGGCTTGCTTCTTTTATCGCTTGTTGGGATGGGATTTTGCTTCAGCAAGGCGTTTGTGGAATATCACCGGCTCTGGTGGCGGAAACATGTATTTTTCACGAGTGTGCTTTTGGGCTTTAATACCACCGGCGTTGAATGTTGATCGCTCCGAGGCATGCATGCCTTTTTGGCGAGGCTTTCGGTGAATAGATATTGAATAAAGGCTTTGACGCGTGCGCGCTGCCAAAAAACATGTGACCAAGACCACGCAACCGCACAAGAGCCTCGTGCGGTCGCTCCTGCCGTCTCTGCGGCACGAGCAGGGCATATAACCCATCAGCCTGCTTGCTGTAGACATCGAACCATGGGACGCCAAGTTGGTGTAGCGGTTATGAGGATGGGTCAAGTCGACACCGGGACCCTACCTGTACTCCGCTGCAATAGCCGCTTGGGTTGCTGGTTCGAACCCCGGTCGGGGATCGAAGAAAACGTCCCAAGTGGGAGTTTCGTAGCTGCCGCCCCGAAGCGGCAGTAAGCTTTTTTATTTTTTATTGCTTTCGCTTTTTTTTGTATTACCGTTGCTGGTTTCGCGTGTTTGCTTTGTTTAGTTTGATATAAACATGGTGTTTTACGGTGCCAACTTTATCTAGGTACGTGGTTCGCTGCCTTCGCATGTGCTTTCACTTGCAACTTTTGCTAAGATTCCAAGCTTCAGGCTGCCAATCCTCACTTGGCCCTCCCCTCGCTCTCTTCCAAGGATCCTCTGACTTGGCAGCGCCCGGAGCCTCCGGGCCAGGCTCCAGCCCGCCCGGCCGCGCCTCGCCGCCACCAGGCTGCGAGGCGAGAGTCGGCCCGGCGGCGGCGTGGGAGGCCGGGTCGTCCATGACGCGGGGCTTGGCCTCCCACCTCGCGTCGGCCTCGGCGGCCAGCAGCCTCATGCGCTCGCGGCGGGCGACGTCGGCGCGCTGCTCCTCGAGCGAGGGGGGATCCTCGCGCACGTGGCGCAGCCACTGCGACCACTGCGGCGTCACCTTCACCTCGGAGTAGTGCGTCGACCGCGGGTACTGCACGATGCGCCGCCACCGTCCCGGCCCGGGGGCGTCGGGCCCGGCGCGCACGTCGCGGAACTCCCAGTACGTGTTGCCTTGCAGGTCCGAGCCTGCGGGGGGGTTCGTTTTGGTCTTAGTGATGGGGTTGTTGGGGTAGAGGCGGATAGGTAATAGGTAATGCCTGTTACGAGTGCGTACCGACGAGGAAGCGCTTGCGCCACGGCAGGCGGAGGCCCCTCCAGTTCTGCCAGGCTTTTAGGATGGGCGAGAATGGGTTTAGGGGAGGCATTATTATTGGCTTTGGGTATATGGCACGCAGTTTACAACGTGGGCGTCCAGGGATGAGCGTAGTGTAAGATCAAGAAAAAAGACATCAGCCCCTCATCGCGTCTTGACTGCCCAATACGCGTAAATGGATATCCGGTGTTGCGCATCATGGCGACTTTTTCCTCTGGGGCCGTCAGGGGTCATCCAGGTCGCACCGCCACCTCGTCCGCGGCAGTAGAGAACCCAGCCACAGCACCAGGCAGGATCTGGCCCGGGCGCCCTGTCAGCCCAGCGAAACCCCCCACAGTGGCGACAGCGGGGAATCCACGTCACCCGCGATGGAATGCAGGAGCTGGGTTCCAGGTTAACGGGCTCGAATTTGCAGGACCAAGGCCCTTCCTTCCTGAAATGGTGCGGCCCAACGCGCCTTCGTTAATGCCACCGTCGCTACCACGTTACTGAATTGCCGTTGGACAATCCTCTTGGACAATGATGGGTCGCTGTAGGACCTGACAATCTCCCCCTTCGCCCTCCACCCAGCCCCCTCGATATTTGCGTCGCATTGATTTTGTCGCTTGCCATCCCATGCTCTCGCTGGCCTGTCTAAACTGTTCCTGCGACGCCTGCGCATCCGAGCTCGAGCTCGACCTTTGAATGCGCCCGTTCGCCTTGCCCTCGGATCACGCAACTCGGCCCTCAAACCATCGCGCTAGCCTTATTCCGTCCGATCCGAGCCGTGCTTTTGCGTTGGGCGGCCTGAAAACCGGTCGTCATCAGGGCCCGGGAGGGGCAGTGTAATCAGTGGCTCAGGGGTGTTGCCTAGACTTTGTCGGCCTGCCTGCCCAGGTCGTTTCTTAGCATCTCAGCAACTAGCAGAATATTCCATCGCTACCAGCTCTCACGTTCGTTTCCTATCCGTTCCTCTCGTCGATCCCGCCCAAACACGCATCTGGTGAACGGCGGCCGCACCGCGACGCCCACCACCCACAATGGCGTCGGTCACGTCGCTGGACAAGGACCTGCGCAGGATGCGCCTCGACAAGTACACCCCCGGCGCCGCCAGAGAAGCGCGCGAGTGGATCGAGGGTATACTGGGCCAGCAGCTTGCCGCCGGCGATCTGCTCGAGGCCCTCAAGGACGGTGTCGCCCTGTGCAAGTAAGTCGGCTCCAGCCGCCTCCGTTCTTCCGTCTCAGCAACCCCCCTGACAGACCATCTTGCGTCCTTCTCTAGGCTGGTCAACCTTGCGCTGCCGCCGCCCGGTATCAAGTTCAAGTCGTCGGCGATGCCATTCGTGCAGATGGAGAACATCTCCCACTTCCTCCGCGCCTGCCAGCAGCCGCCCCTCGGCCTCCAGCAGCACGACATGTTCCTCACCGTCGATCTATACGAGTCCAAGGACCCGGCACAGGTCCTGCAATGCCTGGGCGCCTTCAGCCGCGCCGCTCACGGCGTCAAACCCTCGACCTTCACCACTGCGATTGGCCGCACCCGGCCGCCCAGCTCCATTCTAAGTCCACAATCTACGGGCGGCCCCCTGTCGCCAGCCTCGAGCGCACGCAGCAGGGGCACGTCCAGCTTAAACAATGGTTCCTCCGCCTACGGCGCCACCCGCCCCCAGCTCACATCGTCCAAGACGGGCGACTCGAACAGCGGGCGCTGGAGCCCTACTAAATCTCCGACCTCGACTAGCAGCTGGAGCCGGAAGGAACATGAGGGCTCTACATCGCCGGCCTGGAACATTGCCCAATACGGCTATATGGGAGGTGCTAGTCAGGGCAACCTGGGAATCGCCTTTGGCGGCCGACGCCAGATCACAAGTGCGAGCCCTAATGTGCCTAATGTGACGGAGAAGATTCGCCTGAGGAAGGAACGTGAGGCCGAGGAGGAGCGACAACGCTTAGAGGCTGAAGAGGAGCGCCGGCGGCAAGAGGTAGAGGTAGAGAAGCGGAGGCTCGAGGAAGAGCGCCGCATCTTGGAAGAGACACGTCAAGCACACACCGAGGAGCGGCGCCGGCTGGAAGAGGAGAAGCGCAAGTGGGAGGAGCAGGAACGACAATGGCGACTCGCCGATGAGCGCCGCCGCAGAGAAGAGGAGGAAGCCGAGGCTCGGCTGGCGCAAGAGCGGAGGCGTTCTCGGAGCAGGAACCGTCTCAATGGCCAGTATCTGAGTGAATACCAGGCGGATCAGCAGCAGTCTCTCCCACGACAGCGGACGGGCGAAAAGACCGAGGTTCAGAGAGCGGCGGAGCGTGAAGAGGAGTATAGGCGCTCGCGGCAGCAGAGCGGTGGCCTCCCTTCACCCTCAATCGGTGACGGCAAGAACGGCCGGGCACGATCGCGGAGCCGACCAGCACAGGCTTCGGGGGGCCCCAGCCGACAGGACTCATGGTCCAGGAACGATGAGCCTCTTTTCCTGCGCGGTAGGGACAGAGACCGGCAAATGGAGCCGTCGCCCCTGAGGACTCAACCTGCCCTGCCCGCGAGGCCGCTTCCCGAGCCCAGGCCCCTGCCCGCCGAGCCACCACGCCAGCATCAAGAGCAAGAACATCTCCAGCCACCAGGGGACAGGCTAAGGACTCACCGCACCGGCGAGCAAAGACCACCTGTCCCCGTCAAGCCGCAGCTCACGGGCGGGAAGCCACCGGTCCCAATCAAGCCCCAAACCACGGGCGGTTCGTCGAGGCCGCTGCCGGACCCAAAGGCGTACTCCAACAGGACAGACAAGTTCCTGGCCAGCAACCCGGCACCCGTGTCGCCGGGGCCGGCGCCGACGTACTCGCGCGAGCTCGGGGCGACGGCGGAGCGCGACGCCGAGGACCGGCGGCGGGCGCAAGCGCAGCTGCAGACGCGGGCGGGCGGCTGGGCGTCCAAGTCGCTAGTCGAGCGCGAGATGGAGATGGACCGCCAGCGCCAGCGCGAGTGGGAGGCGGCCCAGGAGGAGACGGCAAAGGCCGTCCGCCCGTCGGACGGCGCCGTCGATGGCATCGGCGGCGGCCTCGGCGGCCGCTGGGACGTCGGCCAGTGGTCCGGCTACACGGGCGGCGACGGCCAGAACCGCGGCGCCCAGGGCATCGGCGCCGGCCGCAGGCAGATCGTCGGGCCTAGGCAGATTGGAGGGCCGAGGCCGCTGCCGGGGAGGCCATGAGGCGAGGGAGGGCCACGTGTGGTTGATTATGGATATGACATGCGCTACGTGAGGCACGTTGCAGTTATAGCCGATGGCGAAGTGTTGCTTATTTTAACCCCCCCCCCCTTTTGTTATTTCAGCTTTGCTCAAGAACTAGATATCCGAACGAACGCATTCCATCTTACCCCCAAACGGACCGGGCCTGTTTCACGTCACCTGCTTTACTTTTGTCAAGTCGACTTCCATACAGAGAGTGACCGAAGATACCCCGGAGCAGTTTGTTGTAACCAACCATACAGACATTATCTTGTTACTCGAATTGTATGCACAGACGGATCGCTATTTCCAGCCAATTGTTGCTCATGGTTCCACGGTCAAGGATAGGAAAAAGGAGGTAAAGAAGAATACATGTGGTGAAAGTGGAAAGGGGGTATAAAGTAACCAGTCGTGCTCTTTCCAGGATAGAAAACCCGCCCGTATTGACCGTCTGCTGGCTGACTAGACAGAAGAAACAATAAAACACCGTGCTGGCTCATGCGTCAAACTCTCTCTTTTTCTTTTTTTCCTGTTTGCTGCTTGTCAAGGGGCACCACAATTGCATGCGTAAGACCTCGTTCTAGGCCTTGCCGTTGACTGCAGCCGCCCCGACTTCTCCCCCAATCTTCTTCTGGTCCGCACTCGCGAGCGGGCTTTCAGGGGCAAAGTCCGCTTTTGCAATCTCGTTCTCGCCTCCGACCTCCTTCGTCTTTCCGGCGTCGGCCGTGGCCTTCTCGGGCGAAGGCTGCGTGCCGTTGACCTGGCCATGTTTGTCTTTCCCGCTTGTGGAGGACCCCTCTCCAGCATCGGCGTCGGCGGGACCGGCCCCTTGCTCGTCTTTGTCGGCCATGTCCGCATTTTCACGCTCCTTCTCCTCGTCGTCCTCGCGCTCCTTCGTCTCCTTCCTCTTCTCGCCAGCGTGTTCCGACGCCATCTTCTTGTGCTCCCTCTTGACCTTCCTCTCCACCTTGCCCTTGCCGTCGTCCTGGCGCTGCGCCCCGCGCTCGACAACGGCCTCGAGGTCGCCGCGCTTGACAGCCTCGAGCGCGCGGCGCGCAATCTCGACGCTCTCGAACGCGGCCCCGATCCCCCTGCGCCGGCGAGCGCTGAGCCTGCCGGCGAGGCCGCCCTTCTGGATTCGCTGGGCCTCCTCGAGCGCTCGCGTGAGCTCCCGCAGCACGCCCCAGCCCTCGACCACCCGCTTCTGCAGAGAGATGTAGTCATCTTTGGAAAGACGGCGTTGTGCTCGTTGCGCCTGGATGATGCGGGCGCGGCGCACATGCTTTGTTGGTGTCTTGCCTCGTTCGAGCTCCTTGGCCACTCCCTTGAGCGCATAAGCGCCGGGCCCGATGATGGCCGACAGATTCTTCAGGAAGAAACCTGTGACACCCATGCCGACGCCCTTGACAAAGCCCTTGCCTCCACCGTCCCGCGCCCCGCGGACTGGCAGACGCACCACGCCCGTGAATCCGTCATAGAGTCCGTACGCAAGCTCGAGCTTTGCGGCCTTCAAGCCTGACCGTATCCCCGTCACCCGGAGTGGGCGGCGTACCGTGTCGTCGCCGTAGAGCCGGGGCGCGTTGTGAAACCCTTGAGCCACAGCCATAGATATGTCTACAGGAGCCTTGGCCAAGGCACGAGCCGATTTGCCCACGCCCTTGCCCACGTTTTTGGCAACATCCTCGGCAGGATTGGTCTCGGATGTGTCAGCCGTCCCAGTCGTGTGTATTGAACTGGCGTCGTCGTTGCTTTGATGCTGCTTTGGAGCTTGAGACGGTGGTTCCTTGGATGGCTGCGCATGGTCTTGCGCATCTATGTCCTTAGGGGGTGTGGCCTCTGTGGGAGATTTGGGCGCCGAACTGACGTCCTGATTCGACTCCTTTTTCTTCCCATCCTTCTCTTGCTGCTTGGCGTCCTTGGCTTTGGCTTTCGCCTCCTGTCGCTTCTTCTTCTTCTCTTTCCGCTTGCTGGAGCTTTTGGCGATGCGCACAGGGACCCCTCCAACCCCGGTGACAACATCCGAGATGGACGTCACCACAGAGCCAGCGAGGCCTGTCACGGGCTCGCCCGGCCCCTCAAAGTCGTTCCACTCTTGGTGACGGATGAGCTTGAGCTTGCGCCAGGGCACCAAACCCCTCCCTGCAATGATATCAGCCGCCAGGGCGCTCAGGCGGATGTTTGTGTGCTTGATATGCCAGGCCGCGACTTCGTCTTCGAGTATGGAGCAGCGCATGGAGTGGCTGCCCTGAAGGGTGAGGTGCTTGTGGAAAGACCGGCACGCGTTCTCGGCGCCATCGCCCTCGAGCTCAATGTCTCTCGCAATCTCGCCTGCCGCCTCCTTCGCCTCGTCCGTGAGAAGATACTTGATGCCTTCAGCGAGCTTCTCCGCCGACAAGCTCTTGTACGGAATCGCCGGTGGGCCCACACTGCAGCGCTCAAGCATGCTTCCCCAGAAATGTTGATCGCCAAAAAAGGGGACGACCATGGTGGGCAAACCGCACTTGAGCGCGATCGCCGTGGTACCAGCGCCGCCGTGTATGACGCAGGCTTTGACGCGAGGGAACAGCCAGTCGTGCGGCGTGTTTTCCAGCATGAAGATGTTATCGGGAATGTTCTCGTTTCCCAGGCCTCCCCAGCCTTTGGAGACCAGGGCTCGCACGCCGGCAAGTTTGACAGCCTCGAATATCATCTCGGTGAAGCGATCGGCGTCGTCGACAACGATGGAGCCGAACCCGATGTAGATCGGGGCATCCCCAGAATCAAGAAACTTGACCAGATCCTCAGGCGGCTCGAATGATGAGGCTAGATCGAGAAACACAAAGCCTGAGACGTCTATCTCGTCGCCCCAGTCCTCAGGCTTTGGCACGAGGCCAGGGCTCCAGAGATACGAGAAGGGGACATGAAGACGATATGTAGCACCAGGCGCCCATAGAGTCGAGACAGGGTCCAGCCCGAGCGTCTTCACGCGAAAGTCGTTGACCAGGTCGCCAAGCCCCTGCCAAACCATCATCTCGACCAAGGGATACGAGATGAAATTGGTGTAGCCCGGGTCGACGTTGGACGTTTTGATGCTGGCGAGAGGGTGTGGGAACGCTTGGGTCGGCGTGTATGGGAATGTGAACATGAGATGCAGAGGAATCCCAAGAGCCTCGGCGATGTGGTAGTGGGCAAAGCTGGGAGGGTTCGCGATGATGGCGTCTGCGATGAAAGGATCCTTGTCCCCCATGAGACGCAGGTTCTGAGTGTCCTTGGGATCATCGGTTGAGTGAATGCACGCCCTCCAGAAGCCCTCAAACATCTCCGCCATGGCAGCTCGGCGGCGACCGATGTCGCCTGCCTTGACAGTCTCCAAGGTGGGAATCATGCCCGGATTTTTGACCATGAAAGCCATAAGCTCCGAAGGATCACCGCCCACGGAAAAGAACTCGAGTCCCGAGTCCTTCTCGACGAACTCCCTGAAGGCCGGGTGGGTCGCGATACGGACGCGATGGCCATACTGCTCCTTGAGCACCTTGCCGATCTTGAGGAAGGGCTGGGCGTCGCCGCGTGAGCCGATTACCATGATGACAATGTTGAGTTTAGGACACGGCACGTTTTCCAGAACGGCCGTCGTCGCTGATGACCGCCTCGACGTGCTAGGCTTCTTCGCTAGCTCATTGGCTTCTCGCTCCTCGTCTGGGACCTCCAGACCATACGCCCCCCCTCCCTCCTTGGGCTTCGGGACAACTTTTTTCACGGCGGAGCCGATGGCCTTGGCCAGGTATCCCGTGCTGCTGGTGTCGTTGACCGAAATTCTCAGGCGACCGTCCCTCTTGATTTTGCCCTTGGTGTGATAGTTCTCGTTGCCCACCCGGAACCTCCCAAACGAGTCATCTGTCTTGGTATGTGTTCTCGTCTTGGCGCCACGACGAAGGCCGTGACGTGGCTCGTTGGTGGGCTCTTCGTCCTCTGAAGATGACGAGCTGCTGGTGTCGCCGTGTTCGTCGTGGGCACGAGCCCAAAGGGCCGTCCGCGTCTCGGACACGTTGGTGCCAGCCCTGCGGAGGGTGGTGGGGAGGGCCGAGTACTGGCGAGCTGGGCCTTTCGGGGCGGTCTCGCTCAGAGACCTCCTCTCGGTCGAGGGGCGATCTTGTTGAAGGTTCTCTTCCCTCAGGTCTGCGGCGACGCGCTCGAGCGGGTCGGAGCGCGTCTTGCGCGGGGGCTGCCCCAAGAACTCGTCATTGCCGGGCTTCGCTGGGCCTGCGGCGGGCTTTGCTTGAAAGTCCTCCGTCTGTGGCGGCACAAAGGCCGGGTATGCGATGTTTCCGTGCTCGTCGCGGACGACGGTGGTGCTGCGGCCGTCTCGGGTGGTCGCCTCGAACTGGAGATTCTGATCCGCGGGGTCGGGCAGGTCCTTTAGCTCCCTGGTGGTGCGGAAGGCAAGATCGTTGCCAGCCATGGCTACCGCCGATGGGGCGGACAGGCCGACTGAGAGCCAAGGATAGCGAGCGACGGCCAGGCTGGCGAGGGTGGCTAGGGCAGGTGGTCGGCCGGTCCGAAGCTTGGGCGAGAAAAAAATGGATCAAGGTGACGCCAGCAGAAGGGAAAGAGGAGGGTTGAGGTTGTCTTTTGTCAATAAATCGCCTCGATGCCAACGAGACGGCAAAAAGGTCTGGGGTATTGGTATTGGTCGATTACCTAGGTGGCAGGCAGATGCTAGGTACAGTAGGTATTTGGGCAGAGAAACTTGCTCCGTCGTGGCGTGCGGAGTAAAGCAGCTGCGCCATCCGTCTGGACAATTCTGACCGAGCGCCGGGTACGACAAAGAGAGTTCCTGAGCTAAAATGGAAACGCGGTCCTACAGATCATTGTGGCCACGGCTGGGCAGACCCGACTGGAAGGCTTGAGGACCACCAGGTAGGACGTGGGCGCACATTGCTGAGCAAAGCGTCACAGCGTGCACATGCTGCGTGTCGCCGCTGGTTCCATGACGTCAATACGTGCGGGATGGGAGATTGTGGAGCACTCCAACACGGAAGCGCGCAGGGGGTCCTGGTCCAGGCCGCTGTGACGCTAACCTTTTCGGGGGATAAACAGTTCTTTATTAGGACTAGACAGGCACGCATCGGTAATTCTTGGCCACCCGCTGGACAGCCTTGACCCACGAGCTTGTTTGCCCTTGTCGCCTGAAAATCCGGAGCTCTTGATCCGACAGTTTCGCAGAGTGCCGTGAGTGCGCAACTCCATAACTCGAGCAACTATCACGGCCTTGATCACGGCAGAACCGACGGGAGATGAGTGAAGGAAGCAGCCAATATTATCCGATCAGGGTTTGCGGATATCACCACCGCCTGGCGCTTTCTGGTGTTCTTGAATATGCCCGATCCAGCGACAAAGCGTCTGCATTACCCATGGGCCAGCCCAATTGGTAGAAGCTTGACTTGATGAAAAAACATGTAACATCAAAGCCAGAAGGACTCTATAGCACCATACATCAAACACCATTGCACACCCCCGAGTTCGCGACGCTGTTCAGGTCTCGAGGAACAATCCCTTGGCGGACAGCATCTGGATAGGGGAACAGGTGTTTGTCATTGGGTCAGCATCGGTTTGATAGCGTCATAAGCGGACGTGGGTGAATAGAGCCTCACCTTGGTAGCTCCAACGATAATCGCCTTCCTTCTTCCAGGACCAGAATACCCAGCCGAGAGTGTGCCTTTCGTAAGCAATAACTTGGGCTGCGAACCACTTTTTGTAAAAGTCGGTGTTGCTCTTGGCCCATTCGCCATCGTTCTCTTTGGCGTCGGGGGCACTGATGCTCCATTCGCCGACGATAGTGTCCGCTTCCCCCGGCGCAGCCCTATTGTCGCGGCAGGAAATGGAAATGTAGTCTGAAGGGGAGCTGTTGGGGAACGTCCATTTGAGGTAGCGGTGGTCGTCGTAGGCCAGGAAGTAGTTGCTGGACAAGAACTCCCCCGGCTTCTCAGGCTGTGTCGCGGTTCAGTTAACATTGTGCTTATTCCGTTTCCAAGCAGCCAAGGCAACGTAAAGGTGACAAGACTTACACCCCAGAGAGAATTCATCATCTGGATATGCAGGTAGTTGTTCGCCGTGATGCCAAGGCTCCTTTCCGTATCCCGGATTGCCTAGTCAAAGATGTCATTAGTCCATATCTGACGACTGCAATTGAGTGAGACAGGCTGTGAAGCTCCCGTACCTGGTACGCCTTGGGATAATAATACGTTTTCAAGGAACCAGGTATGTTGCTGCGAACATTCTCGTTGACGAGCCCTATCATACCAACGTTCCTCATCTCTCGTGTGTCGTGGATGAGGCGCCGGAGCCAGGCCATGAACCTGATTGCGCGGTCGTACTGGTAGTCCTGGTAAAAGCCCGCTGTGGGTGCCAGCTGCCCCGTGAAGGGTTCCTTGGCCGCCTGCGCGCCCGGGGCACCGTGAAGCTCGAGGATGATATACATGCCGCGGTCGCTTGCCCAGCCGCACACCTTTTTGAGATATTCCACGCCACCCTATTCCCCAGCGGTGGCAGCAGTCAGTGTGGGAGTCTAGGAGCTATACCGAACTGGTATGGAATGAGAGCAGCGAGGTGGTTAAGAGAGCTGAACTGACCCTAGGGAAGTGCTCCGAGTCCCAGTACACAATCTCCTCCATCATCCAGTACCCCAGGGGGATGCGGACTGTGTTGAGGCCGCTATCAATCATCTCATTGAAGTCGGCCTCTTTGATAAAGTTCCCCCAGTGCTCCTTGAACTTCCTGTCACCTTCGCTCTGGCCCAGCTTCGTCATGCAGTCGAACTCGGAGTTCTTGTCTTTGACCTCGCACCCCATGCTGGCGGCCCACTCGGACCACATCATCCACGGCTCGACGATGAAGAGGGAGCCGAGGTTGACGCCGCGCAGCTTGCCCGAGGCGCTGAGCCACCGCCGGCCGGTGCTCCCGCCGCCGTGGCTCCCGTTGAACAGGCTGAAGCCGTCGAGATCGACGATGGAGCGCTTCTCGGGCCCGGCCCCGGGGAGCCAGGCGTGCACGGCCGACACGGCAAGGGCCGCAACGGCGAGGGCGAGGCGCGGGATCTTCATGATGGAGGGGGAGTAGGTATACACAGAACGAGAGCTGTGTATTCCAGACGGGGGAGCCTGGAGACGAGGGCTTGGGACTGCTGCGGCCTTGGCTCTTGGCAGGGCAGCGGTCCGACAAGATGCGGAATTTATATTGCGGTTTATGGCATGTTCCGGCCTTGCAGACCCCTGCTTCCACGTTTTTGAGAAGGATTCCAGGCCCTGAACAATAATTCGGGGTTTGAGTATGAGCACTGACCTGATTCTCTCAAGGGGCTCTGCTCACTCAATTTGGGGGCCGCCTTGGGCCCAATCAGGATGGCGCTCAGTACGAGGTAGTCGCCGCCAATGGCCGATTGCTAAATGTATGCCTAATTTGTGGCGTTGGTGTGGTGGGATGGAGCCTAGTGCTGACACCAGCATATCCCATATGGCCGCCATTGCGCGTTTGCGTCTCCAATACCTTGTCTCGTTTGTGCAGCGGAGATGGCTTCCAGGCTGACGTCGCTGAATGCCACGAATCAGCACCATAACACTTCCTGTTTCTAGGAGCTTGTCGTCCGCGATGGGATGCGTGCGTAAAAGCGCTTCTCCACTGCGTCGAAATTGTCTCATTTGTGGTGTGGCCTGGAGCAACTCGCTTCGTCTCTTGGGCCAAGCCACGGCTAAGCCCACAGATACCATAGCGATACCGCGGTCCGTCCCGCTTCCTCTACCAAGTTCCTATCCCTAAGGCCCCGTTTCCAACGTGGAGCTCTTGTTAGACATTTCGCTCAAGCTCCCTTCTGGCCCTGTCTGACGATCACGGGCGCTCCCAGCCGGCGTCACATGTGTGTCTCCAAAGACCCCAGGTAGCAGCTTAACCCTTTCTCCACGGTGATGGCCACATCCCACGATGCAATTATGAGGTGACGTTGGGCACCACGGCCGTGACACAGCGTGTTGGGCAGCACCGGCCAGGACGGTGGAGGATCGAAAAGACCTTGTGTAAGTGTATGTGTGCATTTATGGGTGCGTGCGTGTGTGCGTGCGCGTGTACGTTTGCGTGAGAGGCCGGCCATCCCGGCTCCAGTATCTCAAACATGCAACCCTTTGTCCAATGATGAGCACCTCGTATCTTGTTGCCATCCATGGTGATACCAACTCCCACTCCCATCCCCTTTCTCTCATGCTACGTTTTGGGTGCATATCTGGGTTTGACTAATTCGTGTTCGTATGTGACAGTGTCGCTACGGGACCTGTGCGTCGATACGCTACTCTACTTGTGCTATCTTGATTGTTCCAGAGAAACATGCTGGACTGCATGCGTTGTTTGGCAAAGCGAGCGGTGTGTCAGTGTGCCTTTGTCGGGTATACACGAAAAGCAGATGCGCATCTCGTTGTTATCAATATCAGGTTCTTTCGAGTGCATTTTTCTGCTCACCAAGTCTCATTCTTGGCCGTTGACTGTTGTCAAGCTATAATATCCCCGGCTATGTCTAGCTTCTGGTGGCGATGTTGTCTGGTCACACCAAGCTCCCGCCTAGCTGGCGGTAGGCAGCCAAGAGCCACTTCGTCTTTCATGGAGCCTCCCGTCTTGGATCTCGAGCTGTGATCCGTCCGGTCTCTCATAGTACCACAGCACCCCACGTCACAATGCAATGTTACCATTATCCATCCCATCAGTAGATCGGCCATGCTGTGACTCCCAGCGGCCGCGCTTTTGAGACACCTGCGGCAGCGGAGGGAAACAAGACATTGTAAGGCGGTGATGCGTGGGCGAGAAGGATCTGGCCAGGCCGGCGGTGATACGGTCAAGTCAGGTGCTTGAGGTACAGGTGTATGCATTACCTGTTAGCCATTCTCCAGATAAGACGTTCCCGTAATTTCTCTGCTGAGGTGCGGATATATACAAACTCAGGAGGAACCGTGACGGCACCTTGCCACGGGCAATCTTCGTATCGGAGTGACTGCTTGGAGCAAAGTGCAGTTCTGTCTTGTTCCCCGCCCGGTCGGACTGGAAAGCGAGATGGAGCCGGGCAACAGGAATCGGCAAAAGATGCATGCGGGCCTCAAGGCATCCCCGGTATCCCCGGCATCTGAGGGTGGTGCACGGGATGATGGGACTGGCTGGGGGATGCTCCAACCCTGCCACGTTAGACTGCAGGATGCAGTGCAAGCGACATGATGCGATGCCCGATGATAGTGGCGGCCAGTTGTTCGATAGGAGATGGGGTGGGTGTCCAGTGCCTGCCTCTAGCCTGCCTCTAGGCTCTGTCCAAGTTAATATGGCTTTCCCCGCGCGCCCGGATCCGGGGACAGGGGCGAGAGAGGGGAATAGTGGTGGGCAGTCTCGGTGTCCAATTGACCTGTGACGTCCTCCCACACTTTATGTACTAATGATAGCGCTTGTGAGCCTCGTCTTCGGGGCAGCCGCAGGGCCAGGATAAATCTTGGCCAAGTCGATGAAATGCCACCACCAAGTCTTCCCAAGCGTGTCGCTCTTGGCTAGACATGGGAGACAAATAGGGTGCCAGCCTTGTGGGAGCATATCCCTTCGCCCCGTTTGGCAGACGGCCCGTCTTGAATCCAATCCTGTTTGTCCGCCGTGTTTGTGCCACGAGATGCTGGTTGGCTGGCTGTTGCTTCTTCCGCTTTGCACCCGCAAAGCTGGGCACAAAGATGCCCCAGTCTTGGAAACGGGGCCTCCGACATTCCGGTGGCAAAAGATGCATCAAAACGGAGCAGCTAATCCCGTCTTGGCTCGTGGTGAGTTCGTGGTTCCGGATTGCCGCCCATATCAGTCGGGCAAAAGGGCACGGCAGGATGCCTCATGAACTGGGCGATGAATGAATGCAGAACCCAGGGCTGTGCCCGCCTTCGCAGCCGTGCGTATCAGTGCGGCTGTGTGGTGCGCATACATACCACCCACTGACTTACTGAGGCGCCACCACCCTCCTACTCCCCCGCCCGAGTGTGCTGGTCGCCTACTTTTAGGCGGACACGGTGGCCGCCAGTGGCAAATTGATCACTCAACCCTCCCGTTCCCGCCGTCTGTCTACGTAGTCGGGCACGTCTTCCGTTCTGCTCGGTCGATATGCAGCCTTGTTCGAGGTTGATGGACACCTCGGGGCTCGGCTAGGCCCGTATCACTCGACACCTTGCAAAGAGTCTTGATGTTCCCGGCTGCCCCCAAAATGAGGAATCCAGCCTGACGACGCAGTATCACGGTTGTAGCTGCATCGACAGGCCTGGCCTGAGCTCACCCGCCACCCGCGTCGCATCCTCCAGGAAAAGTTTGCACGTAGAGGCAGGTAGCTACCCGAAGGGCATCTTCCATGTCGGGCGGATCACGAGCAAGTACATGCAGCTGCATTGCGTCTTCGTTCCGCCAAGGCAGCGGATGGGCCGGTGCAAGCGCATGCGGTAGCCCAAGGTTGTCGACGCAGCCAAGCCAGGAGGGGGAGGGTGGTGTGTGTGAGGTGAGCTGGCTACCCTCCCTCTGGCCCGCATCCTCCACTGCCCAGTCGGGCACCTGGGTTTTCGTGGCCGGGCTGTTTCAGCAGGATAGGTCGTACTGAAAAAGCTCATGCGTCTTGGTTAGAAATCAAGACAGGTAGAAATGTCGGTGTCAAAGATGGACGCTTCGCGCTCTCTCGCCCGGCGGCAGCTTGGCCTCGCCTGCAGCATGTACCAATGCATGTCGCGCCTCTGACAAGGGCTACTTTGGAGGCCATGTCTCATGCGGCCCTTCCATACCCCAGGTTCCCGGTGTCCAGGGAACCGCCACATCGTTGGCGTATGTCTTGGAGACCAGTCTCGATGCGGTGGCCCGAGTCCTTTGGTACATCCCCTCTACCCAACGGCGAGGAAGGGGGTAGTGACGATCTTGGGTCTGAGAGACGAGATCATACATCTCGCTCTTTTCTCACCATGTAAACTGATCGGCGGATGGAGTCCTGCACTATAAGTCAAGCGCTCCCCCGACCTCTCTCCCCGCCCGACTATATTCTATCCCCACCCAAGCCTTCCTTGGCGAAGAAACGACTCTCCGGCCCTGAAACTGATTCACCATCTCGTTGCCCACCTGATCTGACCGCTGGTTGCCTTTTTGCACACCAGACCTGTTCGTTGTTGATACGTTGCAAGGGTACAGCCGCTACACCCACCTGTCCATACAGTCGGGATGACCAACCGGGATCACTACACTGCCGGATCCATGCGAGTCAACGAGCAAGGCTACGAGGGGGTCTCCCAGGCTCCCCTGCCTCGACCGGCAGGGGTGCCTGGGGTCCCTCGTCCGCCCCAGGCCCATCCTGGTGTCGGCCCTGGCCCACGGGCGATGCCTCCACAGGGCGTTCCCGTCGCCGGCCCGCATGCCCACCACCCTCAAGCAACTGGGCGAGGGGCCGCCGCCAGTGCTGCTGCTGCTGCTGCTGCTGCTGCTGCTGCCGGCGCGGCAAGGGTGCCAGCCGCGACGCCCGGCCCGCGCGTCCGGCCTCTCCACGAGACGTGCGACCTGCGCGAGCAGTTCCTCACTCCGGAGGACCTGCGGGACTCGTTCACGCAGTACATCGTTTTCCGGTTCGAGAAGATACCCGACGAGGACCGGTACGACGCCGACGGGCAGGCGCGGGAGGAGGGGTCGACGTGGCTGTACGCGCGGCGGACGCGGGTGTGCGACCGCGAGCAGAGGGACATACTCGGCGAGATCCGCGACATCGCCCGGTCCTCGACCGAGCCCTTCGCCGCGCGGCGCAAGGCCCTGAGCAACGAACAGCGCCGTCAGGTTGAAAACACGCTCGAGGAGCTGCTGCAGGACGAGCCCGACCCGGCCCGGTTCGAGACGACGCTGGTGCAGCTGGACGAGAAGTTCGAGACCCTGACGGACAAGGAGCGCCGGGAGTATGACCGGAGGCGCGGGCGCAGGTCCGAGACATACCGCACGACCAGCAGCGGCGCCCAGGTCAAGCGCAAGAAGAAGAAGCGCGTGGCCATTACGGCGTACTACAAGCGGTCGCCGAAGCCCGACGTCGACATCGGGCAGCTGATCAAGGAGAGGCAGGCGGAGCTGCTGGCGCAGACGCCGGGAGGGGCGCAATTGCCTCCCGTTCACCAGCAACGACAGCGCCAGCAGCAGCAGCAGCAGCAGGACGCCCACGGCTTTCCTACTGCTACTGCGCCGCCGCAGCCGCGCGTGTACAATGGCCAGGGTGAGGGTTATGCTACCACCCAGGCGAACGCGGCGCCGCGAGCACCCCCGATGCCTCCGCCATACGCTGGAGCTCCAGGATACCCTGGGCAGCAGCAGCAGCAACCTCCCCATGGACAACTGCCGCCGCGCCCAGTAGTTGGCGCCCAATCCGCACACCCTGCGAACGCTCAACATGGCGCTCCTGGCGGTGGTGTCAATGCTGCTGCGGTTAATTCTGGCGGTGTCCACAGCTACCCCCCTCCTCATGTCCCACCGCCGCCTGTCCAGCGAGGCCATCCACAGGGTGCGACACATGCCGGCAACGCGGCGCCCCAGGCCGCCCACGGCGGTGGCGGCGGCGGCGGCGGCGATAACAGGAGGCGCAGCACGAGCCGGCACCACTCCCAGCCACACGACCGCCACCGGCGGCCGCAGGGGTACCGCGGACACGCGGAGCGGGACGACTTGTCATCCAGCGTGGACTCGGCCAGCGAGTGCGGGTCCGTCTACAGCGAGAGTACGGACGAGGACCAGAGCACCGAGTGCACGAGCGACGACCAGGCGTCCATGATCTCGTCGGACCGCCCGAGCCCCAAGCGCCGGCACCAGCGGCACGAGTCGTCGCACCAGGTGCGGCGCAGGAGGCCATCGCTGCACCAGGTGTATGACCGCCGCCCGTACCGCAGCGGCGGGCACGGCGGCCGCAGGTACAGCACTGGCGGGCAGACGGCGGCGGGAGGAGGATCGGGCGTCGGCTACGGTTACGTGCAGCCATCAGCGCCGCCGCCGCCGCTGATCTTCAACGCGCAGCAGCCGGTGCAGCCGACCTTTGTGCCGAGCGGCGGCGCCGTCCCGGTAACGGTGGTACAAACGCCGACGACGGCCGCGCACCCGCAACAGCAGCCCATGGACCCTGCGGGGTCGTCGCTCGAGCTGGCCAACGAGCAGATACGGGACGCGTTCGACATCGTCTACATCAAGGGCCTCGCAGAGGGGCGCCGGCAGCAGGCGGCGTCCGAGACCATGTACGTGGCGGCCTCGGCGGCGGCGCGCCAGCAGCCGCGGGCCTACCACCCGCGCCACCCGCCGTCCCCGGCAAGCACATCGGCGGGCCTGGGCGGTGCGCGGTACGCCGACGCGGCCGAGGTGGACGGCGAGAGGAGGCGGGTGGACCGGCTGGAGCAGATTGTGAAGAACTTGAAGATTGACACCCACGACCCCGACCGCGACATGCGCCGGGACCGCGAGGACGGCGACGAGCGCAGGTACGGAGAGGGGACCCGCTACCACTGGAGTGGCGGCGGCCGTCGCGACGGCTACGGCGGCGGCGGCGCCAGTCCGCGGTACGGCATCTACGAACAGGATCGGGATGACGCGAGGCGGCACCGGGAGCTGCGACGCGGGGGTGGTGACGTGGACGGCCGTGAGCGCGAGCGCGAGCGAGAGCGCTTCGACAGGAGGCCGTCGCCGCACGGGCAGCCGTGGCCGACGAGCCCGGACCGGCGCGAAGGCTTCATGTACGGGGTAGGCCGCGACTCCTGGGCTGACCTTGGCGGGGGGTCTGGTCACGGGGCGGGTTACTCGCCTGGGATGCGCAGGCGAGGAGACAGGGGTTACTATCCTGGTTGACGGTTTGGTTATGACGGGGTGTTGGTTTGAGTGTCTGTCCTGTGTTTTTGGCTCTCTTGTTGTTGCATTGTGTAGGATTTTGTTATCATGTACTAAAATGTAGGATGGATGGGTGTTGGATAGTGTTGGCAATTGACTCAACGTCAATCGAGGCTCCGTCAATGTTTGTGTTGGCCACCTTTGACACCTGTCAATCCCTGCGGGGACTTGGCGCTGGGGAGCGATGGCAGGCCATCCGGACCAGGGGAGCCTGGTGAAACAGCACGGGGCTGCGCAAAAGCAACGAGGCGTTCGAACATGACCCCAGAAAGCTGAAATAGAACCACCCTAAGAGACGGGACGATCAATTCGAAGCGGGCACAGGCAGCCGAGGTCCGGTCTCGTTTCGACCCTGCTCCAAGATATTCCCATATATTGTTGACCAACCCAGACTTGACCCTCGAATCTCCATTATTGTAGCCACATCGTGTCTCCCCTCATCTGCTGCAAGCGCAAAACTCCTTCTAACAAAAAGCAATAAGATGGAGGCAGCCGAACATGTCCCTGCCAGCCCTCGGGTCCCAGACCTAGTCGAGCTGCCGTCTGACTTTTGGACGCCGACGCAGTGGAGCGTTTTCCTGGCCCTTGCTGACGCCGTCCTCGCCCCCATCGTGCCCGAGTCGGAGCTGGAGGACAAGGCAGCCCAGATCCGCATGCCCGACGACCAGTTCGCCCAGCTGCTGGATCGGTTTGATGCCGCAGTCGCCCGTCCCGGCGGTGACAGTGACAACAACAGCAGCAGCAGCAGCAGCAGCAGCAGCAGCAGCGACGCCAAGGCCCTCGCCCGCGCCGTCCTCAAGGACAGCTTCTCCACCAACCCGGCCCTGGCCGGCCACCTGAGGCGGACCGTCTCGGTCACGGTCCACCACCGCCTCCGGACGCGGATCGGCGGTCTGCTCGGCGCCCTCTCCACGCGCACCGGCGCCCTCTTCCTGACCGGGCGCTGCATCCCCTTGCACCTCCAGCCGCTGCACGCGCGCGAGGCCGCCCTGCGGCGCTGGCTCGCCTCGTACCTGCCCGCCATGCGCGCCTTCGCCAAGAGCGTCGCCGCCCTCGCCCAGAACTCGTGGGTCCAGGCCAGCCCGCTCTTCAAGCAGGCGAGCGGCTACACCGACGTGCCCCACCCCTGGCGGCCCGGCCCGGGCTTTGAGTTTGAGTTTCTCCAGTTCCCACGGCGCGGGCCGACCGAATCTGATGCCGATTCCGATGCTGCTGCTGCTGCTGCTGCTGCCGCCGAGTCGGAGCCGGTGGTGATCGAGACGGACGTGGTCATCGTCGGCTCCGGCTGTGGTGGCGGGGTGTGCGCCAAGGTCCTGGCCGAGGCCGGCCACCGGGTGCTGGTGCTGGAGAAGGGCCACCACCACCCGCCGTCGCAGCTGCCCATGCCGCAGGAGCAGGGCAGCCGCCTGCTGTTCGAGAACGGCGGGGTGGCGGCCACGACGGACGGCGCCCTCAACGTCGTCGCCGGCTCGACCTGGGGCGGCGGCGGCACCGTCAACTGGAGCGTGTGCCTGCAGACCCAGGACTACGTGCGCCGCGAGTGGGCCCGCGGCGCCCGCGGCGTCCCCTGGTTCGAGTCGGCCGAGTTCCAGGCCTGCCTCGACCGCGTCTGCGACCACGTCGGCGCCCCGCCCGGGTCCGAGGCCGCCGTCCGCCACACGCACCGCGGCCGCGCCCTGCTCGACGGCTGCGCGCGCCTCGGGTGGCGCGCCGCCCCGCTGAGGCAGAACTCGGGCGGCGCCGAGCACTGGTGCGGCCGCTGCACCCTCGGCTGCCACGGCGGCGAGAAGCGCGGCCCCGCCGTCAGCTGGCTGCCCGACGCCGCCAGGGCCGGTGCCGTCTTTGCTGAGGGCTTCCGCGTCGACAGGGTGCTGTTTGGCGGCGACGAGGCCACGGGGGAAAAAGTCGCCACCGGCGTCGTGGGCACCTGGACCTCGCGCGACCCGCAGGGCGGCGTCGCCGGGCCCGTCGAGAGCAGGGTGGTCCGCGAGGTGGTTGTTAAAGCGAAGAAGGTTGTAGTCTCGGCCGGGTCTCTCTGGAGCCCTGTGATCCTGAAGAAGAGCGGGCTCGAGGTAAGACGGACGACCTGTGGTTTATAGTGTGGTTTCTCGTGCTAACCACCAGCCAACTAACTTTCTCCAGAACCCAAATATTGGCAAGAATCTCTATCTTCACCCATGCAACATAGTAGGGGCATACTACGACCAAGAGTTAAATCCCTGGGAAGGTAATCTCCACCAGACGTCCTACTACCAGTCGGGCTCATGCTTCGCTCGCCGCCTAAGCAAACGTCACTAACATCCCACATCAACCCAGGCGGCATCATCACGAGCTACTGCAGCGAGTTCGAAGACCTCGACGGCAAGGGGCACGGCGTCAAGCTGGAGGCGACGTGCCAGGTGCCCTACATGAGCCTGCCGATGCTGCCCTGGAGGGGGGCGGCCGACTTCAAGCTCGCCGCGGCGCGGTTCGGGCGCATGGACGCCTACATCGCGCTGACGCGGGACCGCGACCCGGGCGCCGTGCTCGCCGACCCGGCCACGGGCGAGCCCGTCATAGACTACCGCCCCTCCGCCTTTGACCGTGCCCACACCCTCGAGGGCGTCGTCGCCCTCTCGCGCATCTGCCACGCCGCCGGCGCCCGCGAGATCCGCCCGCTCCTGCCGGGCGTCGAGCCGTTTGTCCGCCGCCCCAAGGAGGTGGCGGCGGCGGCGGCGGCGGCGGCCGAGGCCGAGGAGAAGACGGATGGCCAAGACGCGGCCTTCGAGGCGTGGGTCGCGGAGCTCCGCAGGGTCGGCAACGCGCCGCCCCTGGCGCCCTTCAGCTCGGCGCACCAGATGGGCACGTGCCGCATGGCGCCGCGCGCCGAGGACGGCGTCGTCGACCCCGAGGGCCGCGTCTGGGGCGTCGACGGCCTGTTCGTCGCCGACGCGAGCGTGTTCCCGTCCGCCTCGGGCGTGAACCCCATGGTGACCAACCTGGCCATCGCGGATTGGATCGCCAGGGGCGTGGACCGGGAGCTGCGGGGGGCAGAGGTAGCGGGGCGTGTGGTTGGCTGATGTGTACTTGGTAGTAATAGGGCGTGGCTGCTAATCTACTGATAGCGTAGGAGAAGTCATGTAGGCCTCACTCTCACCGGTTCCGAGTGAGGCTTTTTTTCGGCATCTGACAGGCCTGACTATCTGATGATGATATGCATCCTAGGGATATCATTGGTCACAGTTCCTCTACCAAGCACCTAGCCCTATGTAGGAGGCTCAATAGCTTAATATTTGGGGGGCCCCTTTGCAAGGGCAACAATCCAATGTACCAACTCGACATCCCCAATCAAAGGCGAGCCTATAGGCAGCAAGAAAACAAGACCTGCGTCTCTCCAGCGCAACGTCTTACTCAGACAAAACAACACCCATCTAGACCAGGCCCATCATATCCGCACGGGGAAGGGCAGGCTGTCACCTCTCCCGACAGCTATTCCCGGCCATCTCGAGCAGCAGAAAGCTGCATGCCCTGCCCGCTCGCTGCCCTTCGGTCCTCGGCCTCGTTACCACCGGGCGATCCATTTCGGGATGCATGACGGTGGCACAGCCGCGCGCATGCATGGGGCCAATCAATCCCCGACCCGAAAGGAACAAGAGCTCCTCCCCCCTTTCCTTCTTACTGCAGGGCGGCGGCGGCGGTGCAGACACGCGTCTCTCAGGGCGTGAGCTAGACTAGTGCGAGATCGAGGCCAGGGGGTGAGGTGAGATGGGGAGGGAGGGGGGGATACATGCACAGAGGAAGGAAGATGGATGGAATCAAAAAAAAAAAAAAAAATAGAACGAACCCCCCGCCAACAGAGCACAGGCACTAAACCGCCAGGCTCCTGTATCGCGGGGTTCCTCCGTCGAAAGAGTGTGGTAGGTGTTGGTAGGCCCAGCACATCTACAGCAAGCAACACACTACAGCGTCTGCCTGGACCGACCTGAACTCCTTCCCACCAAAAACCTCAACCCTCTCCCCTCCACGATCGATGGCTGGCCGATCCCATCCAACGTGCATTAGCGCTTAGCGGCGGTGGTCCAGGCAGTTCTCCATGGGCTGGGGCTGGGAAACGCTAGTCCCAAGCCGCTGGGTCGAGATGCGGGATAGACAAGAGGTTCCCTTTTTTTTTCGTCCTCCCCAATCACCGTCCAGAAGCACCTCATCAGTCAGCCAGCCCACTCACCCCCTTCGTGGTGGCGCTCCTCGTATGCGGGATGCCTGGTCGTTGGCTTGGCTCGGTTGTGATCTCTCTACCTCGCTCCTTTTTCTCCTGACGGCAGAAGATCTGTCGGCTCAAATCTCGAGCTAGGCGTAATCCAACCAATCCGTAGACCGAGGGGGTGTCTGGATAAGTCTTGTTTTCCCGGTGTTGGGGTTGCAGTTTTCACTTTCTTCTCGCTTGGTTTTTCTCATGCTTTTTTTTTTTTTTTTTTTTTTTTCTATTTTTTCCCCTCTTTTCTTGATTTCTCCGAGACACGCAGCTAGCCGTGGTGGCTGAGCCCCCGCCGGCGATCCCCTGACGCGACACCACTCAGAACTCGGAAGCGCCCACTGCCCACTTCGCCCGGCTGACTTGTTGCATCTCAATCGAAGCAGCGTGCACACTGTCTGTCAATCAATCAAGCAAACAAGTCCATCTAGCCAACCAGCCCGACCCTGCATGCTGACGGGCCTCACGTCGCTCCGCCCGGACGGACCCTCCTTGTATAGGTTGTATAGTCGCATCAACCCAGGTAGCCGCCAATATTCTAGAAACATGTCATTTAAAGTAGCACGCCCGAGTGTAAGCCGGCGATAGCCTCCTGCGCATTTTGTGCCTCGTGTCACATTCTAATATGGAAAATGGAGGGGTTCCAAGAAACGCTTCGGCAACCCCAAGCCTACCGATGGCGTTTCGATCCAGACCTTGTTCGGGCAGGTTGCACCCTTCCCACCCTTGCCTTCCGGAAAGCACGCAATCCCCGTTGCCCATGGTGCCGTGGTTCTTTGAAAAAGAAATGAAAAAGGAGAAAAGAAGAAAATTCGAGCTGATCCTGCCGCCGTCGCACGGCTGATTCCAAGGGTGAGCCTGACCAGCGGGTGAGAAAACGGCCCATGAACGAGGTGAAGAAAAAGTAGGGGGAAAAAAGAAGAAGAAAAAAAACAAAGTGATATTTACACAAAAACTCACTCTGGAAACTCTCGGCCGAACACGAGCGCGACGTAGGATCCTGTGGTATGGCCGAGACAGACGTCTTCTCCTTCGCACTAACCACATCCTCCATCTTTTGCTCCTCCTCCAGGGCTGGACACGGCAAAGTCCGGCAGCAGCCCTACTGTCTCACTCTATTCCCTATTCTTGCTTCTGGTGCATTGTGGCAGGAATGCGGAATAGCCCCCCATGAGTCAACAGGGTAGCAGTCAGCGGCTAGAGAAACAGGCACCTACCTAGGTACCTACCTACCTTGGGTAAGCACACAATTGCGCGGCGGTCCGGAAACCAGCAGCATCCCGCGGTCGCCACATGTAAAACCGCCCCGATACTCGTCATCGCATCTCCCAGCTCGGGCGCCCTGCAATGCCTCCCCCTGTGTTCGATTCCGGGGCGCCATTGTGTAACCGCACCGCACCATGACAGCCATGTTGCCCCATGTCCGGCGTCTGGGTGGCCTGCGGAAACCGGCCGAGGGGACGCGAGGGGTCGTCACTTACTACAACGCCCGAGCGTATCGGTGTGATCAGACAATCATCTTAGACATTCAGGTACAGGTGATGACGGCAACGGGAATCCTATTGGTTTGAACAAATTGGACATTGTATTCCTTGAACATTTGTTCACTGAACTACTATTGTAGTGTTGATAACGAATAAGCATTGGTATCAATGAGCCCGCCTCCAGGGCGGCTTCCAGACCGCCTCCTGCAACATAGAGAATTTCCCAGCATCCCATGCCACTCCCACAGAGAGTTTGAGCCCGGGCGAGCGGTCGTAGGGGCTCGGCATCCTGACTTGGCCGGCTCGAGTGCGAAAAAAAAAAGGAGGCCTGCACAGCAGGAACTCGAATTGCGCATACTCTCACTGGCCAACGGACCGGTCCCACACTCCACCCC